TTATTATTATTATTATTATAATTAGAATTATTATCTATTAAAATATTTTATTTTTTTATTACGTCAAATCTAAAGAGTACTATAATTAACAAACTTTTAAGATATTTAAGAAAGGTTTGACATGTCAAGTCTACCAATATTTCGGAATCAAGAGCTCTCAAAATCACGCATCTTGTAACATTTTTTTGTAAGTTATGTGATTACGAAACCTAACTCAATAACAAAGAACATCACCTTCAAAATTGACTTTTATATAAATTAATTTTAATTTATAAAAAAATTAATATCTTTATTTTTTTCCTCTTTATTCTTTTCCTATATATTTAGCAAGAAATTTATCTAAACGATATGTATCAAAGTCAATTGATGAAACATTACACATGTTCAAAAAGTACAACATTGCCAATGTATCGACAACATCACACACCATCAATATTATCCATAATACCATAAAGCTAAGCATGCATTAATCCCCCCACAACTCATGCATAATCTAGTACTATAAATAATCATATTGGTGCATGCACAGAACCCTATTGAACTCAACGAACCACACAACTAAACTCGCAGCAACATCAATCATGATTTAAACGTGCAGTTTAAAAAACGAATCACCAAAATGATTTTACAATCACATCAACATGCAAAAAAAAGAAAAAGATTTTTTCTCGTATTGAATCATAGAAATGGTATCGTTTTTGGGATATCATAAGGTTCAGGGTGATGAGTTAAAGCTTTGTTGTCTTTGTTACGACTCGTGAGGAATAGGTCAGAGTTTGTTGTTTGTTGTTTGTTGTTTGTTGTCTTTGTTAGGTTATCATTACTGTCAATGTCAATTAATTATTTGAGGACCACGTCTTACATAAATTTTAACGGGATGAAAAAAAAAATCCATGTCAGGAAAACCGACTAAATATAAATATTAAAACCGACTAAATATTTCTACAGCTCAAAGATATTGCTTTCAAATCGAACAACTCTTTTTTTATAGGAAAGTTTTTCTCTTAAATAAGATATTTTTAAAATTATTTACTTTACAATAAGAAAAAATACTCACTCACTGATGTATATCATTATTTATTTTCAAATCTTGATTTTTTTTACTATTATTTTAACACAGAAATAATAGAGAGATCTGAAATATCTCTTTTTTTTTTACTTACTAGTCTTTATAAAAAGAACAGACCAATTAAAAAAAATTATAAGGACTAAAAGTGTATTTTAATCAAAATTTCTCATAACATATTTAGGATCTTGCAACTCATAAATAATCAGGTTAAAATGATTTTTTCATGCATTTATAATACATGACTGCAACACTAAGTTCAGTAGTTTAAGGTAAAATATTAAATTTTCAATGGGTTAAATAGCTCTTTTTGTCCTTGATAATATTTTTTTGTTTCAATTTAGTCCTACTTTAATTTTTTTGTCTCAATTTAATCTTAATAACTTAAATTATTGCAATTTGGGACTTCCGTCCAAATGATTTAAACGGAGTTAACTGTTGGCCACGTGGCATCCACATGGATGCCAAGTAGATGCGTATGTGGACGCCAAAATTTTTGAAAAAACCTGGAACCAGAACGACCCGTTCTGGTTTCAGAACGGGCCGTTCTGGTTCCAGAATACCAAACGCGAATGGTCACTTATTATAGTTTACGGTTGTGAATCGCGAAAGAAAAAAAACCAAGGTACAAAGGATTTCAAATACTAAATTTGGTAATATTGTAAATGAAAATTGATGACTTCAATTGCTAAACAGTTGGGCTATATAGTGTATCATTAAGGACAATGCAGTGTATCACTAAAGACAATAATAGTAGATTTTATTTCATTGTTATGCTCTGAATTTGTTTTCAGTTTCTAAACCATGTTTCTATCTTTGAATTTATGATATGTTATGAATTTTTATTTTCAATTTTTGAATCACGTTACGGCATTTTGGTCAATGGATGCATGGAGTTGGTTTTTTAGAATGGGTCGTTTTGAAACCAGAACGGCCCGTTCTAAAACCAGAACGGTTCGGTCTGGTTTCAGAACAGCCCGTTCTGATGCACTGATAGTTTGTGAAATTTGCATTTGGAACAGTCCGTTCCGGTTGCAAAATTAACACACCAAGAGTGCAGCTAGAATGGGTCGTTCTGGTTCCAGGTGTATTCATACACTTTGACGTCCACGTACGCATCTACGTGACATCCACGTGGCCAACAGTTCACCCCATTTAAATCATTTGGATGGAAGTCCCAAATTACAATGATTTTAATTATTGGGGACTAAATTGAAACAAAAAATTAAAGTGAGACTAACGTAAAACAAAAAAATATTATAAGGGACAAAAAGAGATATTTAACCTTTTCAATGTTATATATTCGGCTTAAAAATGTCCAATAATATTTTTCTTCAAAATAATTTTGATCGTTGAAAAACAAATAAATTTTAATTTTAGTTACGGTAAAATGTTTTTCTTAAATTTCACTCTTTAAAATCTAAAATAACTTTTTTTTATCACTTTCAATAATTTAAGATAAATAACATTTTAAAAATATATACAAAATTTTAAAGGCGTCAAAGACAAACATAACATAATTAAGTATCACATAAAATGATTTCATAACTTTTTTAATAAACAAACTTGTTAAAAATATTAATATAATAATATAGACTAAATAATAATTCTAAATTTGAAAGAAATGAAAAATAATAAACTTTTTACAAAAAAACAAAATAAAAGAACTTGTTCATTTTACCAAAACTAAAATCATATTTAAGTCTTTCACATTCCCATTTTTTGTTGATATTATTCTACACTTGTAAAATATCTGAAGCATCTAAATTCGTAAAGCTAACATTTCTCAACATGTAGACCTGATTTGTATGGATAACGGGACTTAATTTATCATTAAGCAAATTTATGAGAAACACGAATACTTGTTTTTGTTTTATCTAATTCCATGTAACGAATTCCAATATGCCCATTAATATTCTATGAAATGAGTTTAAAGTAACATTGGTAACATGAAATGAATGTCAAATAAAATGACCATTCCCGCATGATGATAACGTAGTCAGAATTAGTTAGGCAGGAGAAACGAGTGCAAAGCAAAATTGTATTTACACGACGATTACTGGACGCCCATTTACACCTACTCAGTACTCACTGGTCTATACTGTCATTGTCAGTATCAAGGGAGACAAGTTTACAACAAGTCTAATCAGGTAAAATTACTGTATTAACCGTCTGCCACACAATTTGTTGTTCATGATTCTGGACCAGGAGCGGGAGGGCCTCCTCCTCGATCACCACGAGCAACCCGACCACGGGGAGGATTACCAAGTCTTCCACCACGAGGTCTAGGAAGGGAAGGAAACAACCCAGCCTGGCTCATTTGAGACCTTTCTCGAGCTCTCTCTGACAAATTGATGGTCGTTGAAGTACTGCTAATGGGCAGGGGTGAGCAAAATTAATTAAATTGAACTAAAATAAAAGGATTTTTCCTCAAATCTAGAGGATGCATGGAAGAAAAATTAACACCTACATGTAAAACATGCAAGGAATAAGAAGTGAGATGGTAAGAGAAAAGATCATGGATCCTAAGAGGAGTCCTTCTATCTAACCTAACAAAGAAAGATAAACTATCAAAATTAGACTCTCTAATAATAGAACTAGGCTCCTCTTCTAGGCTTAACCTAGAAGTAAAACCTAAAAATGTAATGACACTATGACTATGACAATGAAAATAATTATTTTTAAACACTATAATATCTTGCCTAAAGTGTAACACCTCAGTTTTCAATAAAGTTATTATTATTATTATAATAATAATAATTATTATTATATGGTATTTGGTCATAATTATTTTAATAATTATAGAAGAATATTATTTTGTACGTTTTAAATAATTATTGTTTTGGACAATTATTTTGTACGTATTAAATAAGTATTTTTTATTAGCATATTTAAATAAATATTTATATGTTTTAAGAGAAGGTTGATTTTATATGATATTTTGTTATTGAAATTATATTATTATATTTTGGGTCAGAAATATATTATTATTATAGAGGAAAAATATTTTATAATATACATGTATTTATTTTATTTAATTATTTTGAGGAAAAA